GTAAGCAGCATGAAGATGGCAAGTATAGAAATGATAGAAGAATCACAGATGATCAAGTGTGAAGACTTGATTAACTCATCAAAGTCTTCAAGTGGGAGAATGTGAAACCACCCTAACATTGTTGACAAAGTCAACAATGTTTTGTCAACAATGCTAGGCACCAATTTGTCAATAATGTTAGGCACAAATTTGGTGCCGCCTACCTTATCCTTGTCTTTTGTATGGATGCTTGCCTATAAATAGGCAATGCATCCAAGCATTATACACAACACAAGAGATAAAGAAGAGAGGGTGAGAAGAGAGTAATCCCACAAAATTGTGAGGTATTTGTGAGATAGTAAGTGAGGTGTTTTTTTTCCTAATAATAGAGAGATTTTTGTTGTTCTCCTATTATTAGAGAGAAGTTGTATTCTCACATTACTTAATAAAATCCTTCTATACTTGCTCGTGGACGTAGCCAAATTGGATGAACCACGTAAATTCTTGTGTGTTGTTTCTCATTTTATCTTATCCTTACCTTTTTTCTTGTCAGGTTTGCATGCCAGCATCCTAACATTATCTAACATTATCTAGTCTATTCTAATGATAAATTATGCTTGGACAAAAGTAACAAGACATTTATTGAGCTCAGCAACCTTCTTTTCCAAGTTCCACTTCACGACGTCACACCAACTTAATTGGTTTTCTTCTTCATCTGTTCCATTTTTTAACAAACCATGTAAGATTTCTTTCCTTTTCCTCTCCTCTTCGTTGACACACATGTTTACAGCACTAGCTAGCAAAACATGTACTGGTCGACGACTGTTATTAATGAAGGCAAGCGGCGAAGAAATATTTTATGCTAATTTTGTATATCAGCCGTACTTGCTTGTCTGCCCTTGCGAGATTTGCATGCACTCAGATCTTTTTGGAGCGTGGCTTGGACCATGTTGAAGTTCACTTTAGCCAGGGCAAGTAAATGCCTATTTGTTTGCTTCTCATTCTCGTACGCGTTGATGTGCCATTTGACATCAAACCACAACGCTCTCCAGTGGGAAGGAAGTTCTAAGACATGCACCACTTGTTTTGCAAGGTCGCTTTCAATGGCACTACAATTTATACCAGTTAAAAGTATGGCTGAAAAGGCTTTAGCGTCATCCAGCGTAGCTTCACCCTCGTAAGCTAAATGTGAGGCCTCGAAGAGCTCGATCAAGCCCCTAACATCTGTGCATTTGCTTTTGTCAAAAGTGCCGTCGAAAAAGCCATTGAAGACACCTGAATTCCAGATAATCAAATTCAAGTTAGCATAATTTTATAATTTCTCCATGTTAATTAATATAATAAGAAGACTATATTATGACGACGTGAAGGGTTTATAAATACCCCACTAGTCTTTTGAATACATAAAAAAAGAAATAGATATCTATGGTCAGTTTTGAGAACAAAAGGAACCTCTCCCAGTATTTTCACCTTGTGAAACTTCATATCCGTGCAGCCTGAGGAGCTTGAAGCGTAATGCAGTGACATAAAGATTCTCTTCCACTTTGAGATTTTTATTCTTGATCGAAGCTGCTATGATGTCTAGAGATTGTTTGATTTCTTCCTCGAAGTAACTCCCCAGCCCGAGCTTTATTATATAATATGCATAGGAAATACCATAAAACAGCAATTGTATATGACTCTACACATATAAATAGAAAATATTGACTAACTAATAGATTAAATCTCCTATTTCTTCCCAACTTTTTACATTCTTTTTGGTTATGATGGATATATTTTCTAATGTTCATTTTCTCCAATCTCGAATAATATATTTTCATTATTAGAAATAATGATTCGGTTTCAGAGGCCTTTTAAAGGGATGTTATATCAAGGGTTGGAAATGGAAAGAGGACTAGATTCTGGACTGATTGTTAGGTTTAAGGACAATCTTTGCAAAATTATTTCCTGGAGTATGCAGTCTATCTATTCAACAGGATGTTGTTATAGCATATGCATGTGTTATGGATTTTGCGTCCAGAAGAATTTGACGCTATGCAGTCTTTGGTGTTGATTGCGGAGCATAATTTGACCCTCTCAAATTCAGTTGATACACGACAATGGATTTATGAGAAGGTTGGTAAATATAGTATTAAACACTTTGCCCTCTATATGTAGACATTGTTGAATCTATTCAGCACCTTTTCTTACACTGTCGCTAATATCTCGATAATTTTTAAAAATTAAATCATGAAAAATAACATTGACATTTTGTATTTTTTTGAAAAAAAATTTTAACTACTTAGCAAAGATTTTATAATACAAAATAAAAGATATCATAATTTCTTAAATATTTTATTTGAGATAAGTTATATTGATGATTTTATTTTAAATTACTAAGAGTTTGTTATGTTTTATCTTTGATAGTTTGCTATAATATTTCTGAATAAATATTATATAATTTAAAAAACATATAGTATATTTTTACTCTAGTGGCATTGAATTAAAAAAAAAACATTTATATTTTTATCTTTTTTTTAAGAAAAATAAAATAAAATAAATATTATATTTGTATTTTAAGTAAAAATTCACATATCAAATATACAATAAAATACCCTAAAAAATATAAGAGACTTATAAATAAATTCAAAAGGATCCAAAGATTATTTTATAATTTTATAATATTTAAAAATAATTTATTTAATCAAATATTAAAACAATATAAAATAAAATAAAAAGAATAAAGTTTAAACATGTGTTTTATCAAACACACCCCTTATCTCCAAATTAAAATGAATTGGCTGGGCCTCAGACTTGGGCCTACCAGCTCCTCTTTTCTGTTTTTTTTTTGGGAGCTGGGTCAACCTGGTTATTAGCCCAAGCTAATGAACCAGCACAGTGACCGGGGCTGGGAAGAGCAGCAATCATGCGTGAATCATTCATCCGTGCTGCACAGTGCAAAGCTAATTATAATTACCTTCGCGCTGTGTTTGAGGTGGCTGAACATAAACCTCCCCACACCACTCTGCCCTGCAGCATGACGAGACAGAGCAGGGTGACCCTCTCTCCCCCTGCCTATAAATATTAAAAGGCAAAGGAGGGAGACAAAAAAGAGGGGGAAGATTTTGGAAAGGATAAAGACTAAAAACGAGGGGGGGTTGGAGAGAAGATTTAGGATGAACGAGAGAGATTGAAAGAAGATACAGAGGGAGAAATAGAGTTGAAGAGAAGAAAAAAACGAAGAAAAAAAAATAAAACATAGAGATAAGAGACAAGACTAAGGGGAAGAGAAACCAGAGTTAAAAAACAAAGGATGGAATGAAGGAGAGGTAGAGAAATTTTGGGTGAAAGAAATAGAGATGAACAAAGGCAAGGGAGAAAATATAAAGAAAACAAAGAACCAAAGAGGGAAGGGGGGAGAACAAGAAACAGAGGGGGAGACTGTTTTTTGAAACCAGAGAGAGAGAGAGAGAACAAAAACAAGAAAAAAGAGAGAGAAAGAGAAAGAAAACCAGGAAAGTAACATGAGTAATAAAAGAAAACGGGGGAAAAACCACCATAAACTGTTTTCTACCACTACAAAGTTGTCATTGTGAACCACCAAGAACAGTAGCATCTCCATAAAACCATTGCAGAGAAGGGAGAACATTATTGATAGATAAAAGAGAAATAAAAGCAGAACAGAGAATGAAAAGGAAGAATAAAGAGGGAAAAAGCAAGAACAGAAACAAATGATAAGGAAAATGTAGGGAAAAAATTATGTCTTTTCAATAATTTTAAATATTTTAATTATTTTTTTGTTTTTTTTTGTTTTTATTTAATTTTTGTGTGTCAAAACATCTTGAAAATCACAAAAATATAAAAAACATAGTTGGGGTTTGAAATTAAACTAATAATCGAGGTTTGAGAATTATTAGGCCATAATTAAAGAGAAAATTTAGAATTTGATTTAATTTTGTATTTTAATATAAGGTGATTCAATTCAATCTAATATGTTATTATCTAAATATTAAAAAAAATATCATCTTAAATTTTTTTAATTAAACTATAATTTTAAAAATTGTGTAAATTACATTTGAACTCGCAGATTCAGCCATGTTGGGACAATCCTTATATAATTAAAATATTTTATTTAAAAAAATATTATTAACAATTAAATAATTTTTTATTTTTTTAAATTATTTTTAAAATTAGTATATCAAAATAATTTAAAACATATAAAAAATTTTAAATATTTTTAAAATTTAAATTTTTAAAAATACAATTTACCCCATTTTCCAATCATTTTAAAAATAGAGCACATCTCATCCTCTTACGTTACCTTCATCACCACAAGGCATTGATCACCCACTCCTTTCTCTTAAAAAATTCTCTATAGTACTTAATGAATCAATGCTTACACTATTTAAATATTTTTTTTGTTAATAAAATATTAACAACAAAAAAAACATTAGCAATATTTAAATATATTTTTATAATAAAAAAATATAATCTAATCCACAGGATATATAATACAGGTGAATTATCTAGTCTATTCTAATGATAAATTATGCTTGGACAAAAGTAACAAGACATTTATTGAGCTCAGCAACCTTCTTTTCCAAGTTCCACTTCACGACGTCACACCAACTCAATTGGTTTTCTTTTTCATCTCTTCCATTTTTTAACGAACCATGTAAGATTTCTTTCCTTTTCCTCTCCTCTTCGTTGACTCACATGTTTACAGCACTAGCTAGCAAAACATGTAATGGCCGACGACTGTTATGAATGAAGGCAAGCGGCGAAGAAATATGTACGGCAAGTGTTACGCTAATTTTGTATATCAGCCGTACTTACTTGTCTGCCCTTGCGAGATTTGCATGCACTTAGATCTTTTTGGAGGGTGGCTTGGACCATGTTGAAGTTCACTTTAGCCAGGGCAAGTAAATGCCTATTTGTTTGCTTCTCATTCTCGTACGCGTTGATGTGCCATTTGACATCAAACCACAACGCTCTCCAGTGGGAAGGAAGTTCTAAGACATGCACCACTTGTTTTGCAAGGTCGCTTTCAATGGCACTGCAATTTATACCAGTTAAAATTCTAGTTGAAAAGGCTTTAGCGTCATCCAGCGTAGCTTCACCCTCGTAAGCTAAATGTGAGGCCTCGAAGAGCTCGATCAAGCCCCTAACATCTGTGCATTTGCTTTTGTCAAAAGTGCCGTCGAAAAAGCCATTGAAGACACCTGAATTCCAGATAATCAAATTCAAGTTAGCATAATTTTATAATTTCTCCATGTTAATTAATATAATAAGAAGACTATATTATGACGACGTGAAGGGTTTATAAATACCCCACTAGTCTTTTGAATACATAAAAAAAGAAATAGATATCCATGGTCAGTTTTGAGAACAAAAGGAACCTCTCCCAGTATTTTCACCTTGTGAAACTTCATATCCGTGCAGCCTGAGGAGCTTGAAGCGTAATGCAGTGACATAAAGATTCTCTTCCACTTTGAGATTTTTATTCTTGATCGAAGCTGCTATGATGTCTAGAGATTGTTTGATTTCTTCCTCGAAGTAACTCCCCAGCCCGAGCTTTATTATATAATATGCATAGGAAATACCATAAAACAGCAATTGTATATGACTCTACACATATAAATAGAAAATATTGACTAACTAATAGATTAAATCTCCTATTTCTTCCCAACTTTTTACATTCTTTTTGGTTATGATGGATATATTTTCTAATGTTCATTTTCTCCAATCTCGAATAATATATTTTCATTATTAGAAATAATGATTCGGTTTCAGAGGCCTTTTAAAGGGATGTTATATCAAGGGTTGGAAATGGAAAGAGGACTAGATTCTGGACTGATTGTTAGGTTTAAGGACAATCTTTGCAAAATTATTTCCTGGAGTATGCAGTCTATCTATTCAACAAGATATTGTTATAGCATATGCATGTGTTATGGATTTTGCGTCCAGAAGAATTAGACCTATGATTGCAATCTTTGATGTTGATTGCGGAGCATAATTTGACCCTCTCAAATTCAGTTGATACACGACAATGGATTTGTGAGAAGGTTGGCAAATATAGTATTAAACACTTTGCCCTCCATATACAGACACTGTTGAACTATTCAGCACCTTTTCTTACGCTGTCACTGACATCTCGATAACTTTTAAAAATTATATCATGAAAAATAATATAATGTAGTATTTTATATTTAAAAAAAAACTTTTATTTAAAAAATCATTACATAACATTATAATATTATCACTTTTTAAATGCCATACTTAAAATAAATTGTATTAATTATTTTAATTTTATATTGCTAAGAGTTTGTTGTATTTTATCTTTAATGATTTACCTATAATACTTTTTGCTTTAACTCCACTGAATATTCAATTATAAATAATTTTAATTTTAATATTAATAAATATTATATAATTTTAAAAACATATAGTATTTTTTTGCTTTAGCCCCATTGAATAAACTAATAAAATGAAAAAAAAAACATTCATATTTTTATCTCTTTTTTTAAATAAAATATACCAAATATCAAATTTATATTTTACAATAAAAATTCATATATCAAATATACAGTGAAATATCCTAAAAAATAATATCCTAAAAAATAAGAGAAACTTTCAAATAAATTCAAAAGGAT